TCATTACAAAAGATAATATACTAAATTTAAGTTATTTACCTAATGCATGCAGAGATGACATTATCTGAGTGAATATAGTGTATATTATATTATTGTTTTACCATGTTTCATGCAAAATAATTCATAATCATGTAGTAAAATATTTAGCATAGATTGTTTGACTTTACTAGTTCTCTCATATGTGATGCACATTCTATCCCATATTTATTTCTCTATAGTACATGTTGACACTCTCATGTAATCAACATATTTTAATACATATAAAAGATAATTCAAACATTTTACATTTAATTGAGTGAGCTCTCTGTCCTCATTACTTCATTCAGTAAATGGAACATCAATTTTGACTCCATTAACTATATATGTTGGAAGTGAATAACCTGTTTAAATCATATGTCAAAGTCTAAAATTAATAGATTATAGAAATATAGACATGCAAATTTTCTAAAATTAAAATGAAATATTTTCAAATAGAGGTGGATGGGTTATAGAATAACCCTCTACAGTATTTCTACTTAGGGATTTTAAAATCACAAAATGACCTGCTTTAATACCACTTTAAAGTTTAGGGAGGCTGTAAGACCTCATTGAACTATCCTTAAGTGCACCAAGGGGAGGGGAGGGGGGTGAATTGGTAGTTTTAAAAAATTACTAAAACAAAATCATTTTTTTTATTTTAACCAATATAATAATTTATGAAAATATTTTAGTAAAGTAATTAGCACAAGCAGAAACAATTTTAAAACATGGTTTTTTTTTAAGTTTTATAACACAAATAAATCAAGTGGAATATGTTTTTTTTCTAATACAAATTAAATCTAGCTATAGTTTCTAATGAAAATTAAACTCATGCAAGAAATTTAAATTGCAAAAAATAAAAAAGCAAAAAAGAAAAAAAAAATAGAAGAGCACACCAAAAATTTTATAGTGGTTCAGTCGACCTTGACCTACATCCACTCCCTAGACTCCTCTTCGGGTATTGCACTAACACTATAATGACTCTCCTTTTTCCCCATAACAAGGTAGAGAAGCCTTTACAAATCACTTCCGTCAAACCCGTTGTGACGAAGAACCCAAAGCTATGTCACCCTCCTAGTTTTGACAGCGAACCTTCAATCTTTTTTCACCTTCTTAGTGAAGGCAAAGAACCCACAAAATCTTTCCCATCCTCTAGTGATAGCAAAGAACCTTGAATCCTTTTCCACCCTCCTTAAAGGCAGATTACCCACGACTTTTCACTTTAAAGCTTCTCTCCCAAGAGCAACTCCAAGATCTCACTAAGGCCACTTAAGGAAGTAAAGTGCAAGCTTGCATAGAGCAACCATGTGAACAACCCTTACACTCCTCCCTCACACACAACCTCACATTCTCCCTCTTTAAGCCCAAAGCTCTTTCAATAATTCTCTCTCAGAGTTCCTTCATCAGCCAAAATTCTTACTTTAGTTGATTGAGTTACTTAAGTGCAAGGCTTAAAAATCTTAAAATTTTAATTAGGATGACACTATTCATACAGTTCGATTCATATTTGTATTATATGATTAGTTCAAAATAGAGGTTCGTCCAATATGATGGAATAGTCGTTTATATGAACTATTCAAATTCTATGCAATTATCAATCATATTGCTTTATGAAACCCTGTAACAGTATAGCCATGTGATGTCAGGATTAAAATGGAGTTTTAAGATTTGAGGTTTAAATGACCATGGTTAAAAATGAGGTCAATAAATGAACCCCAAATAGGTGTGATGAACTTGAAAAGTAAAATGCACGTCTTGTCATTACAAAAGACAATTTATTGAATTTAAGGAAATTTAATTGACAAATACCTAAAAGAAAATAATCCTGAGAAGACATATTTAAAAGGGATAAATAACTTGAATGGCAGATCTATCCCAAGCAAGCAGATTTAGATGAATGTTTTAACTAGTACTCACATTTATTGATCTCATTTTTAATCTTTAAAGGAATATTTAATCTTTTTCTAACCATATCAAAATGGAAAAGAAAGATAACTTAATACTCACATAACCATATCAAAATAGTGAGAAAGTGGTTTAGAGAATTTAATGTCCACCTGACCATATTGAAACATCAAAACAAATGCTTTACTAGAATCATACATTCATCTAACTATATCAAAATAATAAAAGAGGAAAATGCAAAAGAAACCAAATATTTGCATGACCATATCAAAAAAGAAAAAGGGGAATATTTAATGCAAACTTGACCATATCGACGTATTGAGTAAAATATTTAAACATGAATGGAAGGTCATTTCCAAGAAAGTAGATTTATCAGATACTCAAATGGGAGGTCGCTCCTGATTGAGCAGATTTATAAGATACTCAAAAGGGAGGTCACTCTGAAATGAGAAGATTTATTGGATACTCAAATGGGATGTCACTCTCAAATTAGCTAATTTATAAGATATTCAAATAGGAAGTCACTCCCAAATGAGATTATTAACTAGATTATATTAGGACAACACTAGGGATCATATTACCCAATTAACTCAAGTTCAAAAAATATGGCCACTGAGAAAACTTATACCAATCTTTAAGAATAAGTAGGCAATTTAAAATGCTTTAGAAAATTTAAAATTCATTAGTTTTAGTATAATCTTTAGATCTAGTATCATCATATGGACCAAGTTTATTATGAAACTTCAACATCGTAGGAAATTTAAATGTTAAAATTCTTTTATTTATTAAAAAATTTCCTTTGATACATCATCAATCATAATACTTCCTAAGATATAATCCATTAGTAGGCAATATGGGATGATTTCCTTTACATTCTTGTAGCTAATATAATCCTCCCTGATACATTTTCTCTACCATGAATGGTTCTTCGCTCAAATTTACCACCCCTCTACTTATGGGACAAAATGGGTCTTTGTAGAACCAGGACCAAGTCTCCTACTTGAAATGTTCGTGGATGAAATATATTATTATATGCTTGAATCATTTTTTCTTTATATAACTGAAGGTTATGTTATGCTTGTAGATGCTTTTTTTCTGAACTTTTGATCTCTTCTAACTGAAGTTTAGTATTTAATTCTGATGCTATACCATAGATTATTGTAAATCTAAGTAAAGGAAGATGTACGACTAGAGGAAGAATAGCCTCTACTCCAAATACTAAATGAAATACTGTAGATTGAATTGGAGTTCTATATGTGGTTCGATACACCCACAAAACATTTCTAAACTTTTCATGCCATTGGTGCTTATTATTATCTAAAATTTTCTTTAAAATATGCACCAAAATTTTATTGAAGGCCTCAGCCAATTCATTTGCCTGAGGGTAATAGATTGTTGAGTATTTCCAATCGATGTTATGACATATAGCAAAGTTATTTATTTTTGTGCTTTTGAATGACAAAACATTATTAGATTTGATTCAAGTAGGAATACCAAATCAATATATGATAGGATCTTTAAAGAAGTTTAGAATATGATTTACTTTAACTTCTCTCAACAGAACTGCTTCTGCTTATTTTGAGAAATAATATATTCTTGTCAGGATAAACCTATGACCTCTTGAGGATCAATCAGATTAATAATTTTTAGCCCCATAAGCTTTGGTATAGGCCTCTTTGGTTTCGATGATAACAAAACCATGTTTGGTGTGACTAATGTTTCAAATTTAGTGTTTTTAAGTCTTCATAGATGATCATGCCAAACCATAGAGGAAGCTGCTTAAAGTTTAGGTGAAGACTAGGTTTAGGGTATTTTTTTTCTTGTAAAGACTTAACAATGATTTTATCACAATAAATGTGCTCACTAATAAAATGATTTCATGCATATTTCATTTTGCATCATTATGCATTAGATAACACATTTTTCTCTTGATGTGAAACTAGGTTTATTTATGATAAGTTTGCTTACTAGTTCAATTTGTGCTTATCATTCTTTTTTGATTTCTCATGACTTCAAGTGATTTCAATTTTCATACTTTATCATATCCCATTATCTAAAATTTGAAATCCCTCTTTCTTAATATTCTCTAGCTGAATTTTTCATTGAATCACTTCCTAGCCATTTTCTTTTGGCACTCATTGATTCTTTCTTATTTTATTGTAAGGCTTAATTAAACCTGATCAAGTTTCATCTTAATCTTATCCCTTGGTTCAAATTAAGTCTTTAAAATCTTCCCTCCTAATCCCTTTGTTTACTTAAGGTGAGAAACAATTCAGTTGAACCCTAATCTCACCTTGTATTGGCCGAAATTCTTCTCCATCCTCGGCCAAATTTTACAGTGTTTTTGTGAGAGAAACACTAAAGCTTCCCACCTATATTCCTTCTCCTCTTGAATCTCTAGAAACCTAAAGGCATCCTCAAGCAATTCTTTCAATTTCCTTGGAGGATCCTTCAACGGTTCTTAGAGTTTTCTTGAAGAAAAACTAGTGGGGTGAGAAAGCTTTAGCTTGGATCAAGATTTTGTGCCTTATCGATAAAATTTCCTTTATATGATCTATAAGAACTTTCTAATTCTTTATTTAGACTTGCGTTTATTGATGTACTTGTGGCTATTTTATTAAATATTTTTATAAGACTTATTTGCTATATCTTACTGATATTGTTAGTGATTTAAATCATACACTTCCAAATCCTTTTATTTTCAAAATATTAATTTTAGTTGATTTTTAAGTTTAAGCTTAGTTTGAAAATATTATTTTGACATCTACGAACAAATTTAAATCCAACATATCACAACCTTCTTAATCAATATGTCAAATATTTTTTTGGCAAGCTTCATCACACCATCAGCAACCTTTGGGGACGCGGATATGGATCCTCAATTTCTATAAAATTAATGTTAACTTCAATAAAAAGATTGTCTACCCATTTTGACAGCCAATAATCCTCACTCTTCTACTCGGCAATTTAACTGCCTCTAGCAGTTGACCAACCGGATCATAGTGTAAATTATTATTATCGCAGATCTAGTAAATAGAAACAAGAGATCATGACTTTTGTGCCAGGAAACACATAAAAGGAAAACAAGAAAAAATTAAACTCATCCGTTTGGAACCAGAGAAGGCAATTCACAAGCACAGTTCAGTCTGACGTGCAAGGAAACCGAGTGTGGATACAAATAAAATAATGTAAGAAAAAAGAAAAGTACAAAGTAGTGCAACATACACAAAAAAGCTGGCAAGCTTTAACAACCTAAAATCTCAAGTATCGTTGAGACAACGAGCAAATTGACTTAATGGTGGGAACTTCATGGCAAAGTCTAGTTAAACTGTAATTGATGTGAAATTCTTATGGATTTTGATGCCTCAATCAATGGCAATTATTAAGAAACCGACGGATACATACATGAGGAAGACTGGATATAAGGCAAGGGCTTTTCTCCTGGGATTAACCGCAGCACTCATGAAAGGATATGCTGCCCATGAGCTCCATGCCAACGTTACAGAAACAACTATTACTTTCAGAATGACATTGTCTTTTAGCAAGCAGATCAAAGCTCCAACGTCGAGAGGAAACAGGCAGTAACCTAAAAGACTGAGACTTTGGAAAAAGATGATGTGGCCACCCTGGTTATGTAGTGCATGACCATTCAGAACCTTCATTTTATAACTGGAATATATATAAGAAAAGTGTACTTACCAGGAGCAACACATTTAATGTGAGTATCACTGCACCAGCAGCAAGCATGGCAAATGCAACCGCAAATACTTCAGACTGGTAATGTTGTAATATGAAATAGATTTAGAGATGATGAAATATATGAATAATTTCATTAAAGAGGTAGCTTCTCCTAAAAAAAGTAATAGTGAAAATAAAAGACTACATATATTAGAAATGTAACAGAGAGCAAAAAAATGAAGTACAGATCAAATTAAAGCAAGCAACTGGATACAATTTAGGCATAACTAGTTTCACAGGACAGTATTAAAGTTTAAACGGGGCCATGTGCTTAAGAGGCTGACTTCTCAGGCTAAGCAAGCTAGGCAACATAGCCAGCCAAATCTAAAAGCAACCACAAATATGCTGCTATAAATCCTCAATCCAGGCCAGACAACACGTACAGTTCGCTAAACTAACAAGTCTGAATCATAATTTTCGCCATTTATGCAACACAAATGATGACAGGAGACATGCAACACAATGCAAGAATGAGACAGGAGGACACAAGAGATCTCGAAAAAGTAGGCCCCCCTGCAAAAAAAAGACTTTAAAGAGGATTTGTTATTTTAAATATAACTCACGACTAAAGAAAATACGACGTTAACAATTTCCATTGAGAAATACTGCAGCAAACGCAGGGCCAACAATAGCATATATATTAATTAAAAACATAGGTTCGTTTGGCATCATTTTTTTTTAATTTTGTCTAAACTAATATTTGGTTGGTATTTTGTTAGTATTTTTGTTTATTGTTTAAAAAATTAAATTAAATTATTCTTTAAAACACCCCAAAAATAAGTTTAGTTATTTTCATTTTCTTTAAAACATGAAAATTCCGACAAAACAATCTCACACACCACTACGGCCAATCCAGCACCTTGCCACTGGCCAAAGCTTTCACAAGCATTTGGCATACCCTCTGTACCAAAGCCAATAGCATCTCTATCTAGACGACCAACACCTCAGGAAATAACATCACTTTTCTCTTCCAAACCTCAAAATAAATAGACTTATATTATTCAATAAAAAAATAACAAAAATAATATATAAATTTAAGATACCAAACATATTTAAAGTTCTTATCAAACATTTTCAAAAATAAAAAAATTGATCCCAAAAGACTCCTTAACGTTCAACAAATGTATTAAAAATTGCGTTGTAATTTAATCAATATGCTTGCTGAACAACTTACTTTGCTTGATTAATACTTAATAAAGTTCATTCAAGTTGATTATTAAATAAGTTTAAACACTTTTGAAGAACTCAAAGGCCAAATGAACCAAACTAGAACACAATTCAACTAATTTATTTTTGTTCACAAACATATTTGCTCATTGTTTAATAAACAAGTCATTAAATGCTTGATATTAATCTTGGTGATAGCTCTTATATCATTTAATTAAAATTTGATTAAATATAATTTATTTAATTACTTATTCAATAGTAATATATTTTAATTTAATATTAATAATATTTTATAATTAAATATCAATCGCATTTACTTCATTCATATGTGTTTATTTAACACTACCGTTGTCAGGTCCCAAGTCCTGGATGAGAAAAGTAGAGGCTTGCGTTAGGTAGTCGACAGCCAGCGTAAAACTTGTCGAATAATAATGACATGAATCATTTAAGAAATTGTGTTAATGCTAGGGCGTCCCCTGGAAGCGACGCGCTGTATGGCCTGAATACAGTGACAAGTGTGCAAGGGCCGCTGCACCGGCGCCCGGGTGCAGTGTTAAATAGGTAAGGGTTCCCGCATCAAGGACGGATGTGGGCAAAGAAGCTAGTCCATGATACTAAAATTAGGATAGGAACTTGGAATATAGGTTCCCTTACAGGTAAATTAATGGAGTTAATAGATATTATGATTCATAGGAAATTAAATATTTTATGCATTCAGGAAACTAAATGGGTTGGAGAGAAGGCTAAGGAAATTGATAGTTTAGGTTTTAAACTTTGGTATTCGGGTAGGAGTCGTACTAGAAATGGTGTAGGTGTTATTATAGATAAAAGTTTGAAGGATAATGTTATAAAAATTAATAGGATTTGAGATAGAATTATAGCTTTAAAGATTATTGTTGATGATAAGATTGTTAATATTATAAGTGCATATGCTCCTCAAGTAGGTTTGGATATTGTTCAAAATTAAAATTTTGGAATGACTTGGAAAAACTAATACAAAATATACCTCTTGAAGAAAGGAATTTTATTGGAAGAGATTTAAATGGACATGTTGGTAGAGAGGTAGATGATTTTAAAAGCATTCATGGTGGCCATGGGTTTGGAATGACAAATGAAGGTGGCAAGACCATATTAGATTTTTGTTTAGCTTATGATTTTTCAATTGCTAATACCTTATTTAAGAAAAGGAATGAGCATCTCATCACTTATAAAAATGGATATAGTACAACCCAGATTGACTATTTTCTTATAAGAAAATTAGATCGTTTAGATTGCAAAGATTGTAAAGTTATCCCGAGTGAAAATTTATGTACCCAACATCGATTATTAGTTTTGGACTTTAAGATAAAGGGGCATAAAATAAAAAATAAAGTAAAACAATTTTCTAAGATTA